GGATGCAGAATTTATACCTACATCTTTTAAGAACTCTAAGCATGTTTACAATATAGTTTGCAATTGGAATGAAAAAGGCTTGGCTAGATGACCTTGGTTGCTTCTGTCTAAGTATATTGCATACTTTCTCCAGATAAAGGTACAACGGATGTAAGCAGGTCAATCAATCGACGTCATGTTGCATGTTGACGCATACCTGGCGGAACACAATGGAGCCTTGGTGTTCAGCCCATGTGATTTACAAGATTATTTCTTTATTAAATATGCTCAAAGACGCACTTTTGGGGAATATTAAACGTCTTGAATTTCTCTCAAGTACAAGGTTAGGTTACCTAGAATGAAAAAAGAAAGAGAGAATGCGTCATGCTAAAGGTCAAGGTTAAAGCATTCAAAGGGTGTATTCCGGAAAAATAGCTTCGAATGTTCTTTAAGTTTTAGTGATGCAAAGGAGAGAGTACTTATCAAATAATGTTAAATTGTTAATAGCTTCCCTGCAATCGACCTGAAATAAAAACGATAATATTGCCTTTGTTTCACGAACAATATATTGACGTGGAAATTAGGTTAGTGGTAGAGGAAACGTTTCATTACATTCCAATCAGGATATTCTTTCATCATGTAAGAAGAAAGGTTTTTCTTCAGTTTCAGATCGAAGGTAGACTATTGATTGTAGACACGTTTGTTATTCTTTTATACCTAAATTGACACAATCAAACATGAAAGATACTCACCAAATAAGAAAATTATGCAACATAAAAATTTATCTTGCCATTAACAAATAATGTAATTGCAAAACAATGACAAGAGAATTTGAGAAGTTTACGATAAATTGTGTTTGGCATGTTTTTCAGTATGTTGGATTGAGGTCATGTTTCAATGGTATTGACATTTGTAACTTTCGAAAAGGTTATATGTCTTTGGTCAGTGAATATTCAAGTATTGGATTATGACGAATTCATAAATTGCATGGATCAAGCTCAAAATTCTAATCAATCAAACAAATTGAGAGTAAAGCAAACAAATACTCCTGTAAACATCAGAAGAGGATCAGATGCCATGGAGAAGTAAGCACCCTGTGTGAGTCCATTATGTACATGTATACATACAATGCAGTCTCTCAAAATTTTCACTTTTACGGTATGATAAAGGGTTGAAATATCTCTGCCATTTGTCAATATCCCAACACTGAGTACTGACTGATTTGCCGAACTGTGGATCGATATGTATTTTAGTTGGGAAAAGAGAAGTAACTCTTTTAAGGAAAAAGAATATTTACCGACGGTGGGCGAAAAGGGGAGGAGGAAACTTTTATGAAACGAATTCAGCAATTCAATCTTTACTAAACTTTTCATTAATATATTGCCATTAACATTTTTGGATCTTAGATTGAAGTCTATACTTGAACTTTATCCATGACAAGGGTATACTTTAATGAGTATGAATCCATTTTAAGGCAATCACTAATTTGATAACCAGATATAACTGTTTTCTAGAAGACCTTTTTTTGTTTTCATATGTAGCTGAATTTGTTCATAATCTTATACGTGAAAAGAAAAACAATAATTGCTGTGACTTTCGACTCGACATTTAGCATGTTTAGATATATCGACGATCGTATTGTAAATTAACACTTATTTCCATCCTAATATTGATATGCTATATCTGGTAAGCTTGAGATAAAAGATACAACAGAGTCTGACCAATCGGTTTATATTTGAATATTTTATTTTTTTTAAAAATCTTATCTTGGTTATCTAACATAAAAGCTTTATGATAAACATGATGACTTTAACTTTTCAATCGTCAACTTCCTTTACTACAGCAGCAATATATACTTTTGTCGCCTACATGCGGAGTTTATATCTCTCAGTTGGTCTGAGATATGCAAGAGCATGCTCTACGTGTGCAAAATTTCTAAGACGAAGTCAGTTATTGACAAAAAAGGTTATGAAACATGAATATCAACAGTCTTGTTTAAAGTCATCATTTTGTAAGCTCAGAAAAATCTGTCATTTTAAGTCAAATGCTGACTGGCGTTTTGTATACTAATTGTTCGACCATTATTTACACACTGAATTGTCGATCGATTTTTCAGATATAACCCAATCATGACAAGGAGAATGACGGGTCGGCAGGGGATGCTCACTCCTCCATGGCACCTGATCTCACCTCTGATGGTTTAGATCGAGGTCCATGTTTGCTCTGCTCCTGATATGTATTGTTTAATACTTTTATTTTAGTTGTAAAACGTTATTCGATTGGATAAAAGATTGAATCCATTTCGTTTAACATAAGGCCATTCCAAGTTTTTTCTATGTTTAGCGTCCGCGTGCGCCTTGGTTTTTGACACCCCATATAGGAAAAAACACACAACATCAGGATTCCTGAAATTGATTAATTTAGTCGTAATTTTAGAATTTTGTCAATTTCTCCAAATAATTCTGTACTGTAAGTTATATTTGGTGTATTTTAAGCATTTAATCCCTTGTTTTTGCTTAAGAATAGATATTTCTTCTATTAAAGCAGTTTAGTTAGATCAAATCATTTGAAGGGCGTCATTTTTATGACTTTTAAGCCTGTTTTATGTTTTGGCTTGTGTGTTTTTTGTGAATAGGTAGGTAGGTTTTTGAAAGATGGTTGGACGCTAAACAGAGAAAAAACTTGGAATGGCCTAAGTTGAAAACGTCACAATCAGTTACGTCCAAAATGTATTGTTTCGCTTGACGTTACTTTTAGAATATACTCAATTTGAAGCCTTTATCTGGAGGACAAATTGTCTTATTGTCTATTCTGAAATTAAATTACTAGTATAAGGAATGAAATTTTTTTCAACTTATACGCTATTTTAAGTGTAAACTGTCCTAATTTATGTTATATCGTAAAACATAAGTAGAAATAAGCTTCATTCCTTAAATAACAAACAGTATTTAAGCTCAAAAGTCCTTAAAGCAATGCAAAATAGGCCTAGAGCAAACACAGACCTCCAAAACATGAGATGGGATAAGTGTCATGGAGGAGTGAGCATCTCCTGCCGACCGGTCACACCCGCCTTGTGCTCTATATCATGACAGTGAAATTACGAAAATTCAGTGTACATAACTAATGGCGTAATGGACTAACAATTAGTATGCAAAACGTCAGTCAGCATTTGACTCAATGGTAAACTGTATTTGCGGACAAGGTCACTGTATCGACCACAGAACTTACGAAATGATGACTTTAAATGAGACAAATAATATTCTATTTTCATCAACTTGTCAATCATTTACCTCGTTTTACAAATTGTTCATACGTAGAGCATATCTTGCATGTTGAATCAACTGAGCTATATAAACTCCGTGTGCAGGCTTTGAAAGTTTATTGCTACATAAGTATGGGAAGTTGACGATAGAAAATTTAAAGTCATGTTTATCAGAGTGCTTGGTTGCTATATTACCATTAACGTCTTTTTTTCAAATAAAATATTTAAATATAAACAGATGTCACAGACTCCGTCGTAACTTTTATATCAAGCTCACCAGGATATATCGTATTGACATATAAGAATGACAATCATCATTGTTAATTGACAATACGTCGTCGATATAAATGTATAGTTGACGGCCACAGCATGTGTTTTTTTTCTTTTCACGGATAAGATTTTTCACAAATTCTGCTTCATCTGAATACAAAAATAGGTCTGCTAATAACGGGGCGCATTTGGCACCCATGGGAATTACAATAGATTGTTCGAAGACCTGGTCTCCAAAAACGACATAGATATTGGCAATGAGAGACTAATGCATCTTTTTGATGCCCACTTCAGTGTACTCATCAGAGACTATTTTTTTTAAACCTTCGTACATTCTCGTATTTTCCCTATACTGAGAATAAAATTATGAATAATATAATATTATAGAGCTTTGACTTCAATTGACAGTTATAGATCAAAATCAAATTAAAATTGAATTCCTGCAAAATTCAAAAAGTAGATCACCATGATCTACTTCGGAATCAACACAAAATGAAGTGCTGAGGTTTATCAATTGACAAGATTTGATTATCCTTGTCCCTATAGTGGGCAAAATATCGAAGTTTTTTTTCTAAAAAGTTATTTAAATCAACCTTGAAGTGATCTTCACGCCCTTTTCCTGAGAGTGATATCGTGAACAATTCCTAATCTATAACATATCTTCATCATTGTCTGGTGATAATCCCCAGTGATTCTTAAGTTTAGGGACCACTTTTGCTGTTATTTTACTAATTATCCCCCCTTGTTTCATGGTCACATTCCTATTTGAAGTGAAGAAATAGAGCCCTTGGTGTCATGGAAACATTGAGACTTTGATGAAAAATGTTCAAGGGGTGCTTGACATGTACTCATATTCCAGAAAGCTGATGCACACAGTACAAATAGTCAAAGCATAATTAGCTTTTGAGCCTTTGGAGCAGATGAGCTTTAAGCTTATTCTTGCAGTGTTCTCTTACTCCAAATACTTCCTCAAAACTTTTAACTAGTCTATTAATTGAACTGTAAGATCAGGTAATCCAACCCCCACAAATTATAATTTACTTCAGTATAGCACACGGTTTATCCACTGGCTAGCCCTCGGGGAATACTCATGTCACGGATTTGATAGGAGCTATCCCACTCACAGCCAGTGAATTTGTATATTATCATACTTACTACTTAGTCAGTTTATGTTTTACACATTCAAGCTATATATCATACTGATAATGCAGATTTCTCTTTTGACAAACCCATCATATTGCTGGAGATATTTAGTGACCTTGTTTAAATGTGAAAGTAGACTACAATACTGTAAATGTAAACTGGTAATTGTTTGTTATCATTTATATCTCTATTTTTAAATTATTTTCTTAATATAACTGAACGTAATAAATTGCCATCAATTGCAGATGGAGAACCTTGAACACACACTAGCTAGCAGTTCATTAAAACTGATAAATACAAGTCTTAAATATTGGTGGTAGTAAAAAAGAAGGTCAAGCCAATAAGATGCATTTATAATAGACTTTATATTCTACATACTTGACAGCATCATGCTAATTCTCAACAATATCACAACTGATACTTAACAAGAAACAGCCATACCATTCAGTCTATGTAACCAAGGAAATGACCTTAAAGCAGGAGGTCAAGGTCAAACTGACAAAACTTTTTTTTCAATCTGATCAGTTTTTGTGTTACATATCAAGTTGCAATTCAGGACAAGTTTTACATTGTATGTGCTGCAGATTAAGTATGCATGCACTTTGTAAAAACACCATTTTTCATAATAAAATTAAAGTTATGGTAACTATGTCAATGAACAAAAAATATAATATAAAGATATACCTTTGGGTCTCTGAGAAATGAAAGGAAAAAAATATGGTATATGTTAATTGCAATGCTGATAATCTTTTTTGTTTAAAAAAAAATGAATATGTTTCAGTTTTAGAAAGAACGGAGTCTTCACACACAATTTTCACAGAACTTTCACTCACATCTTCATTTGAAACTACGAGTAATGCCAACATTAACACTGTAAAAAAAGGGAACACAGTGAAAAAAAAGTAACAACAAAATCTTTGTTCTGATATAGAATGAAAACAGTGAGATCATATGAAACAATGCAAGAACAAAAATAATTTCTGGAATGCATTTACAATCATAGCACGATGAGCAATAAGATAGATGGCGCTGTTTAAAAGTATATATACTTATATATGTATGCTTTATTAATTTCATACATAAGATTTGTTCTGTGTTTAAATCAGGTCAACAATGTTAATAAGAAATTAAAAATTAATATTCCCCACTCCAAGTTATGTTAAATGTTTTTCATATCAAAAATGAAAGGCTGTATGCAGTTTCAATCCAATATATAACCATTCAAGTATTCAATAATTTTTTTTTTTTGTTCAGTATATCAGAGTATGAAGCTACCATAAAAGGAAAAAAAGTCCGAGACATAAGAAAACAAAGCACTTAAAGGGAAAAAAATACCCAGTAACCAATGTGTAAATAAAAAATATATATACATTGTTAGTATATATATACAATAAATATAAATATTTTGACTTTGAAATGTACATATTTTACATACACATTCCATTGCTATTGTTTGCTTTAAAAAGTACATGTACAAGAAATGAACAGAATCTGATTATAACAGATGATAACAGGAGAATGAGAAGGCTAAATACAAGTAAGTGATGATGTAGTATTGTGTCCTTTCTGGGAGGAGAAGAGGATGTACCCAGAGTTTACTGTTTATACCATGTTCGTGTCTGCTGCAATATTGTGTCCTTTTGAAAGGAAAAAAATGTATCCAGTGTTAACACGTTATACCTTATTATTAATGCAGAGTTGTGTCCTTTTGGGTGAAAAAAAGGATGTATCCACAGTTTAAATGAATTTTAGTCACATACTCTTCAATTCTATTTTAGTACATTCATTCCTTTTCATCTTGATTTGAACAAATTTACTAAGAAAACTAAAAAACAGACACTTTTAGATACCTTAAAAATGACAGAGAAACCAAAATACAAATAAAAGTAAAAAACCATACAAAACATGGTTGGACAAGTAGGAAAGCATATATACATCTACATATTTTTTTCTCAGAGCCATACATACTCTATTTACAAAATTTACATTTTTACAGTGTCTAAGCTAGATAGTATATATTGTACTCACTATATACATGTATTTATATATTAATTAAATATTTACAACCAATCAAAATGAAACAGACTTTTTTGAAAATTGTTTACATCTGAATTTAAATAAATTCAATAATTTAATCAAAGAAGAAAAAATTGAGTTCCAAAAATTTTGATGACTTAAAACCAGATAATAATCAAAGATAACTAATATATTCAATTAAAAAAAATTACAAAGATACATGTTGACAGGGTAAGAAAATTCGATATTTAAAAAAAATTGTTTCCTTGAGGTTAAAGAGTTCTGAGTCCGGCCATTGTTAGCAAGTCGGTCAAAAGAGAGCAAACAATCCATTTTTTACAGATGGTCCCATCTTTTTTTTTTATCTAACTATATTTGAATAAAAGAAAGGGATAGTATTGAACATAATGTTTTTGTTTGAGATAAGCATAATGATAAACACTTTCTAACAAATAAAAAACTATACGATTTTACCAATCTAGTATAACCTAACTATGGTGAAGAAAAATAATTTGTCTTTGACAAGTTCATTGCAGTTTCATTTGAGAATCAAACGCAAAATCAAAAATATTTCTTCCACCCAAACAAATTGATAATATCACACTGAAAAACAGTATACACATAATAGTCATGTGCCACCTCTTAACAAAACAAAAAACAAAAATATTGCACATAAGAGCTTTGTCAAGTTTTCTAACAAAGGTATCACTGATTTTTCTTAACCCTCCTTTGAGTACCACTTCTGGTAGATATATCTGGATATGATAAATAAAATATTCATGAAGATAACAAAAAAGACAGCTGAAAAAGAAAATCTCTAAATGGAATATTTTCAAAAGTCTCACCGATATACATAGAGAAAATGTGGCTATGGAATACAAATGTCTACATTGTACCCCCCTCCTTGAATCTAAAGAAACCCACTTCATACCAGCATTACTCTGCCTTGCCAATAAAATCCCCTCTCTCTCAACCTAATTCTTCATTTTTCAGCCCATGCCCAATAAATGAACATTCTCTGCACCTGATCACATCTTTGAATGGACATGATGGTTATTCATGCGATTTTTCCCATGAAGAACACTATTTGGCTGTTGTGTTTAACACCCTAAATGGCTGTTCTGAGAAATGTCTCGAAACGGAGCTGTTACCATTGGTACCATTTTTTATTTTTGTACTTCAACATCAGAGCTCTGGAGTCGGAAGCAAAATTCTCAGCATGTTCCCGCATCTGTTCTGAACGTTCTCCCAACTCTCCCAGTTTTTCACCTCTTTCAATGAAGCCCTACAGAAAATATTCATCTTAAAATATTAAGAACATGTAATGCTTGCCACTTTTTAAACAGTTAAAATATTTTATTCTCTATCACTCAAACAAACTTGAATCTACACTCAATGAGGATGCTTCCATATCAGTTTGTCTGACCATGGGTTTACTCTTTTTGAGAGAGATTTTTAATAATTTTTTTCCCAATATATTCTTAATACATAAAACTTGAATCATTCCTTATGGCCCCATCTTACCACTGGGGGCCATGATTTGAATAAAGTTGATGCTACATTTTAAAATGAAAATTTCAAATAAGTTTTATCTTTTTGGTCCAGTGTGTTTTGAGAAGGTTTTAAAAAGATACCAGTTTTTTTTTTTTTTTTTTTTTTTTTTTACATATTCTTAATTATCTCCCTTTGATAGATGGTGTGGCTGTTCATTAGAACAAAGTTGAATTTCCTTCCTTTAAGAATGCTTCTTGGCAAGTTTGACTAAAATTTGCCAATGGACAAAAAATTTAATGTGAAAAATTTATAAAACCCAAAAAACAGACAAATTGTGATTAGAAAGCTGTAATATCGACTACCTATGAGTAGTCAAAAATACAAGTACTAGTAACAAAGTTTTTACCCTGTGAGCTTTGGCTACTTCTGAATTGCCAGTTGCGGCTTGAGACTGTACGTACTGCATACCTCCCTTACCCTGGAGCTTGGTAGCTAGACCTCGGGGTCCCTTACCGCTGGCCTCCCCAACTGTAACAAAAGTTATGTACATTGTTATTTTCTGCTCATCAATGAAAAAACAATTTTTGCATTTCTTCCAATAACAGACTTTACAACTGTCACAAGACTGATTATGATTAAGGACTACTTATACACTAAGATGAATTTTTTTCATAAACATACACAGAGTAAAAATGTTAACAGGGAACTCTATGAATAAAGTTCTTACACAGCTCTTCCCTATCCAGTGTGGACTGTCCTGATCCAAACCAATTCTTGAAGAATCCTTGTTTTGGGGGTTCAGGTGTCTCACAAGGTTTGAAGAGTTCTCCCAGCATCTCATTCAAGTTATCACTGAAAATTTTATCCAAATTTACACATTACATATTATACAGTAAAACACTCTTATAGCAAACACACTTATATTGAATTGATGCTTACAGCAAAGTAATTTTAATTCCCCCTGACTTTAAAAAATATTGTGATTTTTACAGGTAACTAATTACATTTAAAACAAAGCAAAATCCTTATGAGCAAAATTTTTTATATATTTTTTACAGCAGAAATATATTTTCAAAATATATTCCAGAAACATTTTTTAAAAAAATCAAATCATGTAAATTAAGATTGTAGATAAAAATATCTGCATAGCATACCTCATATCAGCAGAAAATGTTATCTTTTGAATTTCTGTGGCTGAGCAAAGGTAACTGGCATGGCCGTTCCTGCTGAAACAAAACGTGCGAGCGATCCTGACATCATTCAGGGGTAGGAAATCAATGTCAAGGAGAGGCTTGAGACTGGGCAAGCTGAATGCCATGATTCGACCATTAGCCACATAGCATGCAAGACAAACGGAATCTGAAATTAATTTTCAAAAATAAATAAATAAGCAAATCTGTACGATTGAAATTCAAGTTTTTCAAATAATTTACTGTTACACAGTTAATTGTTAGCTAAAATCAAATTCGTCCAAACCGGCAAACCCTATACTTGTTTTAAGGCCAAAAAAAATTAATCAATTGTTTCTCAGGCCAAAAAAATCAAAATTTCAACAATTTTTTTTTTAAAATTTTTTTGAAGCAGGATGTGTGTTCACCTTCTTTTTAAAGTCATTTGTTCAATAAAATGATAATATCTACACATTATATCAAAATATTTGTCCTGAACACACATTAGTTATAATATGTATTCAACTTTAAATAATGTTTTTTCCAAAATTTATTTAAAAGTTAAATTATGTCAAACTTTAGATTTAGAACAAAGATTACTTATTTTATTCTGTGCTAAAAACAGCATATACTCCCCTGTTTAAAAGGACTTAATTAAATATTTTCAAAGTTTGATTTTGGGGGGCAAATGTTGGAAAAATAGAAAATTCTTTATTTCGATTTTCAAATTCAAGTTTTTCAAAAATTTACTGTTATACAGTTTTGTTATCTAAAATCAAATTTGTCCTGAGAAACTATTGATTAATTTTTTTGGGCCTAAGTACAAACTAGAAACCTACCTCTAAGAGTAACTACATCAGCCCTGACTACAAATGAGGAGTCTGTAATCCTGGTCTTATAAGGACATTGTTGGGAGGGTAAGGAAATCACCTGTAAAAAATGTTTTCAAATACAGTACATAAATATCTTGATGTGACTGCATGATTACACATTGATTTCAAAGTTAACTGATATATCATACTATTAAAATATAATTGTATGAATCTTTTTACAAATAAATAAGTTGGTTGAATCTGGCCTTGTGATTCTAGAGAATTTGAAAATGTGAAAAGTTTTAACAAGAGATATATGGCAGATGGATGGGGGGTCCCCCCTTTTTTATCAAAACTCTGTTCACACTAGTAAAAAACAACACAACCTACCCTTGCTTGTTTTTCTGAGCATATCACAACAAATTGCTTGTCACCATTGATTTCTGTTGATGAAGTTGGAGAGATTTTTGGTTTTTGAGACACAGTATTTTGCCCTAGAATGGAAAAACATAAATAATTACATATGATACAAAACCTTGTTTTATAGATATTCAGGAAAACATTCAAAGTCACCCAATAAAACTGAAGCATTCTTTGAACCAAATATTATCTACGCCTTTGGTGAAGAAAACCCAACATTTTACTAACATGACTTACTGAAATTTTTTTTCTCTTTCTCCTTGTCTGGGTTATCTCGCCACTGGTCAGACATACTAGGTATTAGCACCCCATAACAATCAAGGAAAGACATAGTGAGTATTGCTCCTTTTAATCTAAACATTGTACCTAAAATAAAATCAGATGAGGAATTGATTTTTATAGCATGACATTCTGCTTATTTATCTTCCTAGAATATGGTTCAGCATAACATTCAATACACTCTGTATACCTCAGATACCTCAATCATCTAGGAAGCATTGATCAAAGTCTAAAATAATTACATAAACATGAATGCACCTGGCAAGGATTAAATACAGTGACTGTCAATGTGACAGGAAAATCTTATATTTCACAAAATAATTTTGCAATCTGCACTCAATGTGAGGTACAAATCTGTAATGTGACTCTATGCAACAGCACAACTGCTGTGTACAATTTCATTCAAATTCAATTGCTGCAGATATACAGATCAAGCTAACAAATTCCCCTCTATTTCACTCGATCACATTGCCAGAAGAAACTCTTCTCTCCCTCTCACATCCATTATAACAGAGTGCTCACCACTGGGAGACACGATGACGGCTTGGTCCAATCACTGTTGTCCGGGGGGAGGTAGATTATATAGGGACTATAAATAGACTATGTAATAAAACCGAGTGCTCACCACTGGGAGACACGATGACGGGCTGGTCCAATCGCTGCTGTCCCGGGGGAGGTAGATTCAGTACTATCACAATCACAGATCCTAAACTGGTTCCCACCCACAGACACGGACATGTGAAGCTATCTACAACCACAAAAAGGAACCAGTCATTAGGTTAAAAAAAGTATGGGAGAATTTCAATATATAAAGGATCAAACTTTCATCTCAACTTATTCATTTCTAATACAATCAAACCTCGTTATCTCAAACTTAGACATTTCCATGGTATTCTGGATAATGGTGTTTGAGATACTGGAGTTCAACTGTACAGATTATGGGGGGAACAAACAGAACACCATTAGTGGTCCGTCTACCTGTTTTTCCTGTGTAGGAATCTGAGAACACTAGTGACTGGATGGCTTCTTTTGACACATTGTCTAGGCTGGACATACTGGAACTACGTGATCGCGAGAACGACGCCGTGTCTGTCTTATCTGAAAGTGGAAATCAGTCTACGCTGAAAATTACAGGGATCACAATGTTCTTAAATATATTAAAATCTTGTTCATTAATTTCAGAATTCCTTGATACTTCAAATCAATTACATTTTGCACTTAATTAAAAACAGATTTTATGTTTACTAAAACTTTTGATAAATCATTAATATACATTGATAACACGATTGTTCAGAAATTCAAATAAAAAAAAAATACGTAATATATATATGAATTTGATTAAAGAAATCATCTTTAAAACACAATGACAATCAAACATCTAGCAAAATATCAATTATATCATGAAAGTATTCAATCATATGGAAAACTGCAGCAAACCTTCAGAAAATAAAACAGGAAATGAATGAATGAATAGTAAATATATAGAGATAGAAATGTTAATATTCTGGCAATAATAAAAGGGGAAATATGTCTTTCTTATTCACTTTCATTACTCTTCCTTTTTCAATACATTTTGATGTGCATTACTGTCACTTGTCAATACTACATGTATAACAGTTCATATATTCATAGAAATTGATTTTGTATGAAGAAACAAGTACAGTGTGTATTATCTAGAAAAAAAAAGTTAGTTTTAACAATTTAAATGTAGACAACTTGATAAAAATTAATTTAAAAATTAGAGAAGAAAAAGAGAAAATACTTCATGCAAAAATTTTAAATTGAAATGTTTTAAGGGAATTACTGATAAAGGGTTTTATTGCAATTAACGTCATTAAAAGTGCACTGAACACTCAAAAAAAAAACTGCAAGAACTTGTTCATGTTCACTCACCACAATTCTCAGGTTTAAGGAAAACTATTTCAAACGTATACATGTATTAATATTAATTTGTTATCAATATTATATGTAAATTCAGGATCATCATAATTCAACTTTTATATTTTATTTCTTTTTCTTTGAAGAAAATCAAAGAACTGAATATGAGATAATAAAAAAAAATATTGTGTACAATAAACAAACTGAAATTATCATTAATAAGCTGAAGAATTTGATACAGGGAAGTATTTTTTGGTTAAAAAAAAAGAGCAATCAAATTTAAAATAAGCCAAGTACTTTTTATCAAATTTTAAACAATTGAGAAATGATTTTTCACTGTGAATTCATCACCTTATAATACTTTAAAGCTCAGTGCTTTCAAAAGAATTCAATATATGTGCATGTCAGATGATCTGTGTGCTCAAAAAATGCAGCAACATTTTTTTCTTGTTTTGGAAAATATTAATTATATGTATTGAGAATATTTACAAAGCATGTGCATGTGAGAATATGAGAGGCAAATTTTGTGTTTGCACTTATAAACTTAATGATTTTGAAACTTGCATGTAAATCTGTAATAACTTTTTTTTCTTTTACAGAAACAAAGGCCTGTGAATTTGTAATATTTGTTTTAACAAATTGATTTGGCTTTTAATATACATGTTATAGATGCACATAATCCATGATTTCCTATACATGCATTTGATCAAACACCCAGTGCCTCCAAAATACCATGGCAGTGATTTAATTAAATAACAACAATTACTCCAAATGTACCATTTTGTTTTTGTGTGCTAAAGGTTTCATCTAAATAATAGAAATTAAAAATTATTTTCTAAACTTATCAATGCTGAATAGTCATACGTGTTTAAAAACACATGAATTATTTTTCTCTATCACCTACAAAACTAAAACTAACAGATCTGTCACAACAAACCCTTCACTCTGTTAATTCATAAGCTAGCCCTTAATAAACACATGGTTAGAGGCATTTTATTTTACTTTCCTGTAATACCTCAGCAATGAAATAAATTAAAATCTTTAAAATTCTCATTTTTGCTGAATTTATAAATATCAAGTATCAACCTTTTTCTTGATAACAAAAAAATATTCTCCCAATTTGAAAATGAGAAGAAGAACACTTATATCAGAGCAATTATACCTCCATCATTAAGACCCATTTATCAAAACGAATCAGGGGAGGGGGCTGCCAATCAATGGCTGAAATGTGGCATAAAACAATAATCAATCAATTTGAAGGGTAAAATATTCAGATCTCTCATTCATAGAAAATAAATTAATTTATATAAGGTTCTTCACAGAGGTATACTTGCCATCCATAACCTCCCCACCCCCTTTCCCCCTTCTTTTGGTATCACAGAAGAGTAAGAGAAGACCAACATAGAGAGGGAATCACACCTCCACCACTGAACGAGCCTCCTCCTCCCCCGCTGAAGGATCCGTTACTGGCCTCCTCAATGGAGGCCACGCTTTGGACTTTTTGTAGTCGACGGTTGGGTTTACTGCGTCTCAGCTCTGGAGGGGGCGGTCTCTTAGGCTTCGAACAAGTGGGGCTTATACAAACACCGTTAATCTAGAAATCAAATTGTCATTGGGCATTAGTCTACCTGTTAGTTAAAAAAAACAAACTGCGGCTTTGTTCTACAGGCAACAGAAGAAAAACACTCAAAGTATTGGACCTTACTTCCATCATGATCTTCGTTTAGTTTTATAGAAACATACCGCAAAAATAAAACCTCATTTTTAAAGGATGGCAATCATAGATGATTAATTAACCCAAGATTTTATATTTTTGCATGAATAGAAGAACCATGCATTAGAAATTTAAGGTCCAATGCTTAGTAACAATGCAAGAACAACAACATTCATTCCCCTCCGCTACTGTCTAGGTGCAAAAACTGGTCTGAAACAAACTCAAAACGGAAGCAAAATAAGGCAAAATGTTAGGTGTTACATGCCAAGTAGTACTAGTTACAATAGTTAGAAAACACATGCACGTGTTACTACTAGGGGGAAAGAAATCTGGTTGTTTACCAAGCAAAAAAATTCAAAAGACTTAAAAAGTTTAACATCAGACCAGATTCCTTTCTCTAAGCACCACAAGAAAAAGGTTTGCAAAGGACTTATCGGCAGATCTGGTGATTGTTAAACATGCTTGATAAGAAGGCAGCCTCACCCTGCAAGGCAAGAAAGAAAAAGAACACATGGTAAATTTGGCTGAATACTTCAAACCTGTAGTACTTAATAATCTACTGGGGTGACATACCAGGTAAAATTGCATTCTGCAGTTCGTCCACGGACACCCTTTCGTGGCAGAATTTCCCGTTGTCATTTGTTAAATCTATGATATCGACTTTGAATTTCTTTTCTTCCTTGTCATTTCCCATGACAATATTTTTCATTTTGACGCTCATTCTCCTGAGAAAGCTTTTAGGTGGTGGATGTTCGTCTAGGTCGCTGTCGGAATGTTCGTCGCTGTGAACATCGTGAACACGGTGGTGGGCGGACTTGCTCTCGTCATCAGATTTTGCCGAGGACTCGCAACCGTTACTCGATTCACTTGAATGTTTTTCTTTGTGTTTGTTTTTGTGTTTATTTTTTTTGAATGTCAGAGCAGTCAATGAAACTCTCCTTGTTTTGTGTTGAGTGCTGTGTTCAGCGTGTTTCAGTTCTGACACGTCAGCATCTGGATCAGAGGAAGACCTAGGTCTACCATTATTGCTGTCATCCTTTTCACCAAGTAAGCTATTATGGTGTGAGGGGTCTGACACAGTTTTGGAAGCCGTTTTCTTTCTTGAAATGGCCCCCTCAGAAAAAGCTTTAGAGATCACCTCCTGCTTTGGCGAGGGGGGACTTGGCACTGAGGCAGCACGTTCTAAGTGTCCCTGGCCCGGGGGCCTGCTCAAGTTCTGTAACTGACACCTCATACCTTTCTCAAAGTAATTTTCATCTAAATTATTAACAATATTGTCCAGCTCTTCAGCAGGGACCCCTACCTCTATGGCGTCACTGTCATTGTTATTTTTCTCTTGCGCAATCAAAGAATCGTCAATTTCCTGAGATAATCTCTCGTGAATTGCTTGCATGGGAACAAGTTTTTCGTGCGAGTGCTTTTTCCGGGGTTTAACGACTAAATTGGGACTTGTTGGAGGACTAGACTGAAAACAGGAAGCAAAACAGAAAAACATAACATAAAGAACTGAACATAAAACACATAAAGGCAACCAAAATGTTATTTTTCTTTTTCAAAGGGTAGGGAGTCATGTCTTTTATCCCCCCAAAATAAGAAAGTAAAAATGTAAATACAAATGGGGAAATAAACTAGAACACAAAAAATAAAAAAATAAAAAAAGCATCAGGAATTTTTTTTTAAATAAAAAATGTGCACTACACACAAAATTCAGATATTCTACAGGAACAAAATTTGATTTATGAAAAATACAACACAAACAATTGTACACAAAAGAAACCTTAATAAAAAAAAATTACTAAAAAGAAAAAATTCATAATAAAAATAATCTCTTTTTTAACATGTTTAATTCTATATATTCAAAATAACATTAAAATGTTGTTTGTCTTCTTTAAAAGAGGGAAAAGCAAAAAAAAATTAAAAATTATAGGGACAGGTGACAATTGTTGTGTGAATTCAGCAGTCAGACAGACAGACATACATGAGACAAGACAACATGTTATATAGATTTGATATCTTTTCATGTAGATCAAGAAAAAGACACATGTACATTTACATAAGCAAGATAAACATTCATAAAACATGTACTTATGTAACATGTTTTAAAGAAAATCAAGGCATATTGTATGATTTGCATTTCATTTTGGACAAGAATCAACACATTTCTTTTAAATCTATATCATAATACACGATTCATCCTAAAACTTTTCATTCAAAGCATTCCATTACTAATTCATATATTTTGAAAGTTAATCATAATGTTAATGAATGAATGCTTACTTTCTACAAATCAATATTTTATCATTCATAACTCGTTAATTAATTCTCTATTAATCAATCAGACACCAGATTTCTGGGTAAGGTATAAGACCCACCTGATCATTAGTGGGGGATCGTGCCCCATCCTCGGTGCCCGATCCATCCGTGGGGAACCTCTTGTTCCTAGGTGATCTCGGCCCCCGGTTGTAAGGATCCATAGAACCTACAAGTAATGTTGATTACGATTAACACTACATATATACCAGAATTCGTGAACACTAAATGACTGAAGTGAAAAATCCTCCAATAGTATTATTTTTATTTGGCAAAATATATATATTTTTTTTCTATATTGATCCTGTTTTTCATAAAAATTGAAAGTTTCTCAACAATGTAAACATTCTGGTACATACATTATCCTATCTTAGCATTCTAACCATGTTACCAAATTTTCTTCTCTTATAATTACATGTGTATATGAAACATCACCAACAAACATATCTCAGAATCATCAAGACAGAAAATTAATCAAGTTCTTCTTGAAAATAAAATCTTGCAATATTTAAAAATACTAAACAGTGACTATATGAAAAAAATAATGTGACTCATGAAATCAAGTTGTGAAATATATGTAGAAAAACTATAGAATTGAAATAAACCTTGCACATAACTTTTTAACATTGAAAAAAAAATAATCAATTGTGATCTACATACCTTCAGTGTTACTATTAAAAACTAATTAAAAGTATTGAAATTAATTTGCAGGTCCATTAATATGATTATCAAACTGTTCTGCATTAGCTACATTTATTTCGGATTCTTACCGTACAAGTCAGGAGTGCCCAGGTTTAACAGACAAGTTTTCTGTATGTAATCTACTATTGCCAACCCAGACTCATTTCCAAATGCCAGTCTGTAAATAAATAAAGTTTGATATATTTCAGAATTATGCATTCTTCTATCTTTTATAAAAAGTTGTATTTGAAACTATTGAAGAAGGATATATGGAGATAGCGAACAGTATTCGATCTCAAAGTCCATAAAACAATACAAAACAAGAGCAGAGTAAACACGGACCTCCGAAACATCAGACATGGGATCAGGTGCCATGGAGGAGTGAGCATCCCCTGCTGATCGGTCACACCCGCCGTGTGCTCCTTGTCATGATCAGGAAATAACGGAAAAATCCGTTGTCAATTCAGTGTACAAATAATGGACTAACAATTAGTATGAAAAACGTCAGTCAGCATTTGACTCAATGATAAATTGTATTTGCTGACAAGGTCATTGTATTGATCATAGAAGTTTAATATGAAATGATGACTTTAAACATGACAGCTGATATTCGTTTCATTAACTTGCTTGTCAATAATTTACCTCGTTTTAAAAATTGTTAATACATAGAGCAAGCTCTTGCGTGTCAAATCAACTGAGATATATACACTCCGTATGCAGGTGATGAAGGTATATTGCTGCATAAGTAAGGGAAGTTGACGATAGAAAAGTTAGTTATCACATTTATCATATAGCTTGGTTGTTAGATTACCATTAACATCTTTTTCAAGTAAAATATCCAAGTATGAAACAGATGTGTCAGACTCTGTGGTATCTTTTATCTCAGGCTCACCAGGATATATCATATTGATCATATTGATGTAGGAATGGAAATTGCCATTGTTAATTGATAATACGTCGTCGATATATCTAAATGTTGAGTTGAAGGCCACAGCAAGTGTTTTCTTCTTTTTATGCACAAGATTTTGCACAAATTCTGCTTCAAATGTATATAAAAATAGGTCGGCTAATAACGGAGTGCAATTGGTACCCATGGAAATTCCAATAGATTGTTGGAATACCTGGTCTCCAAAAATCACATAGATATTGTCAATCAGAAACTCAAGCATAACTTGTTCTTTAATTTTCAATGTTCTAACAAACTCGCACTAAAGACCCTGTTTCTGCTGATTCATATGACCATTACCTTTTGACACTGACCTTTAACAAAGTTTCACAATGCATATTTCTAAAACAAATCTGCACTTCTCTATACTACACCTTCATTGCTGTTTTAAACTAGTAAGGTCTGTTTTATCAAATGTTTATGTTCACTGCCAGTCTAGTTATAATGGTTTAGAGAGATGAGAACCATAGTATCTGTTTGGAATAAATAAAGTTGTGCTCTAAGTGCAAACTTAAGCTTTATGACCTGTACTAACCACTGACCTTATTACTGGGTACTAACAATAAAATGTGGATTTTCTTTCAGTAGTCTAATGGGTTAGACTTTTTGCTTTAGTTTATTTGTACACTTAACACCTGCACAGTAAAGTTATGTTCTTGATTTGGAAGCAATTTACATTCATTTGCAAATGTAGTCTAACTGCTTTGCAGATCATGCAGTTTATAGGTATAATGGACTAAGCAACCGTAATATAACATGTGGATCAATAATTAACTGGTTACAAATCTTAGGTGAGTTTCAAACTTGAAAGAACCAAAGTGTCATTCAAAATGTGCACTAGCAGTGAATGCTCTCAAGGATAAAATACTTGACTGTATTTTTTTCACAGCTAAGGGGATACTTTACAAGCATAAAGTAACTCTTAAAAGCTATATGATCTCAAGTAGATAAATGTATTCGAAGGACATAGATATGATGAGTTCAAATAGATATTACTCATAACCCATACCATTTCAAAGAGAGAAGACTCTCTTAAAAGGTTTAATGAAAGGTGCTTGCAATGCAGATAAGACCAAAACAGCAAACAAGATCATATCTAGCTTGAGCACTATAATGGTGACTAAGTTTTTATTACTCCTACATTAAAGCAGCTAGGCTAGCAAATTATTCAGGATTGTAGCTCCACTTTGAGCTACACTGCAACAACCTTGTACATAGCTCATATAATTGAGGCAACATAAAGATTTCATACAAGTACTACCAGCACATCCATAATGAATTCATACTAATGACTTGCTACTAATAGACCAATGAGTCCACACAGAGAAGATAGTACTTAGTGGCGATATAACAATATCGTTTAAAGGGGACTTAGTACTTACAGTCCGTATGATGAGTTCATGGAGATAAATGTGATATTGCCGGGGTGTTCCTTGCCCTCCCCCGGCTCTTTGCTGTCTAACCACTGTAACACACACACCAGGTCTGGGTAGTAGCCCGCTGAGTATTTCCTGCTCCCAGACCGCACCTTCACCGCCGTCCAAGGATCGCTCTACAATAAACAATCCATAATATGTCAAGATATTCCCCTTATTTCAGGTTTCATGTGTAGCCTAATTTAATCTGACTAATTGAACATGGATGGATATTTTTTATCCCGTTGTTTCAGAGTGGGGGATAGTAATTCACTTACTAGCTTGTCTGTGTGTGAGTGGGATAGTGAACTTGTGTGAAAACTGGAGTAATAAGTTATATCACGATTGATGTTATTTGCTGGCTTGTATGAAAGTTTGTGCTCTCTTGCTATGGGATGCTTGCCGATTTTGTATCAAACTAGTAAAGGTAGGTACATGCCTATTATAATTTGATTTAAAACACATTGAGAAGTTCAAAGGTAGACTATTCTCTGCTGCAATAATGATTTGACCATGGCCATGTAGGCACCTAAACAATAATATTTTTGTGCACATATTTTGGGGGAAAACTAAAGTCTATTTATAATAACCATAAGACCATCCAGAAAAATCAGCAATCTACTGACTCCCCTTCAAAAACTAGGATAGTTGCATGTCTTTCCAGTTAGAGTACACATTAACCTCCTCCGAGTCAGATATATTGATTTCTTATCTTCTTTATAAATCATTTTAAATCAACAGAGACTACAAGCAGACCTTAGTTTGTTTCTAAAGCAATGGTATATGCAAATTTAGTACACTGGAATAGAATTCTTTCATTCTGTATTAAACTTGCAGCCTTTTTTTTTTTACTAAAACCAATTTACAAAAAATACTTTTCTTGACATTTTTTTAAATTATTAATGTCTATCATAGAAGTTAGTGAGAAAATAAACATGGTGAAGATGTACGTTTTTCTCATCCTGACAATTAAAATGTAACAGAAAGGCTCTTCAGAAAATATCTTTAGACCAACATAAATCAGTTTTTCTGATCAATATAAATCATTTATAGATCAATTTGTTTTGAAATTTGGACTTCTGTACAATATATGCAAGATTAAACTAAGCATGATATGATTATTCAGAATTATTTTTGTATGTCTTTTCATACATGTTAACTCTCCCGATTTAGGCGGGAGTCTACCGCTTTTTCACTCCATCTCCCGCCTACCGATTTAATTCAGAAATCTACCGCTTTTCTACAAAAACTGCGTCTAAAGTATTTTTGGTTCGCTTGGGTATCCATTTTGGAAGCCAATCTCATAAAATCTCGCTAGATATCGCGTGATTTGATTCGGAATCATACAAACGCTTTCTTTGTACATAGATTTCAAGCACGGATTTGACAACGACAACAACACAAGACTACCAGTGATTACATTGGTTACGATAAATTAATCAACATCCCTGCCATGAAAAAGGAGATACAGATTTTAAGAATTAGATGAAAACATTTGACATCGTCTTTAAAAGCACAGAAGCTCACAACTTTATCAATAAAGTCAATAGAAATCACTCAATTGATCAAGCCATGTGGCACATCTCTAGACTCTACTTCGTTTTCGATCATCGCGGGAAATCTGATTTATAGAACGAAAGATAGCAACTTGTTTTAGATCTAGATTAAACCATGTCATCAATTGTTTTGTTTAAAAACTGAATGAACATTCAGAATTATTGCTTCCAGGCTACATCAGCAAAGATCACTCTTCAAAATGCTAAGTAAAGCAGCAAATCCAAGCAAAATGATGAGCATAAAAAATATTTGAATTTGTAAAATTTATGTCAAACTTAAGGTGTTTCTGTCTTCTTTTTTGCTGTTGCTATTTAAGATTAATAAGTGTAGGTACCTGATTTCATTTAAGGCTTATAATATACATGTATATTACATGAAAGATATCGATAATCCAAGCGTTAAACAACACGCGCACAATGCTACCGCTTTTGAGGTCTAAATCTCCCTTTTTTTCATCACAATAGGTTAACATGTATGGTCTTTTGCTTTAGAAATGTTCACAGAAAGGCTAGTCTTCTACTTGTACATATGGATTGAGCAATCTCAATACAGGATTGCATTTAAATAAGTATCATCCTTAAAAGTAAGGACAGGTAGGTATAAGGTCCTGAAACAGGACCTATGTTTAACAGCATAAATTATGATCAAACAGATACATAATGTAATAATTGCTCAACTCATAAATTTATCCAATGTTCAAATAGAGAATATAAAACCATTTTTTGTGAAATTAAGTTTTCCAATAACATCCCTCTTTATTTGATACTAAGCAGCTGGGCAACCAAGTGAAACTCAAGTTCAACAGAGTGACCATTTGCAAGCTGAGCTCAACAAAATTCCTTATCCCTTCAACAGAGGTGTTCCCAAACACTCACAAACGTTCACTCTGTTGAACAGGCCTCAGGTTATTTGTGTGTACAATCCACGCAGACATACATCAAACAAAAAAATCCAGCATGTTTTCTGGTGATTCGTGGTGTTACCTTGGAGCTGTGGTCAGATGCATTGCTTGAGTATGACTCCCTGCTTCCACTCTGTATCTGAGCTACCACCCCTAAACAGGGCCGGTAATGGTTATCTATATCAGGGGACTCCATCTCATCCAGAATATCATGATAAATAATGGAAAACTCTAAACTCTACAAAACAAAGTCATAAATATATCAACTGTGTTACATTTGACATAGTGAGAAAAAATATAAATAATCAGGGAATCTATAAAATCACAAAAATTAATTCCATTATCAACTTCATAGCTTTCAATCAATGATAACTCTCAGATGAAAAGTCATCTTCACTGGTTTGAACTAAGAATGTAGTTCAGTGGTTTGAACTGAGATTATTCAACTGTCAACTCAAAGCAAACTTCATAAAGGAGTAGCTTTACTATTATACATTCCATAAAGATAGAAACACTGTTCCTCAATACTGATTGATTGATTTTATGTTGAATTACATCCCATTCAAGAATTTTCCATAATATAAATACATGTATGTCTCTCATCTTAAAGACATTTCATCTCATCTTATTTCATGGTTTAAAAAAATTCAAAGATTAACATGATCTATAATTAAAAAGTAAATATCTATTCAGAATTTTATGTATCATATTAAATTAATGTACATGGTTCATTTGTGAATTAAGATGTTTCATTATTGATCATGTGTTGAGTAATAAACTAAACACAAAACATAAAATTCCTCATGAATTCATAATCAATATGTTCTAGAAATTTTGAATGATCAAATCTTTTAGACATTTTTAAGCTTTGGAAGGAAACCTAACAAACCATTTTAATTTCTTTGACCAGTTAATTCAAATACATCATAACTTTTTGGTTTTATAGATTTCAAAGTACATCATTTATGTTTTATGCATGATACATGTATAGACTCATGGGAAAAAACCCTTTTCGTGATTATTTTCCAAGAAAAGAGATAGGATTAAAATGTTTCTTTATTTACATCAAATATCATAAAACCAATTAAGAGTAAAAAAAATTCTAAAATCTCAGAAATTATACTTTACCTGCACTTCCACATTTAATTCCTGTTTGGAAAATCTACATAGCACTAAATGAGTAGCTCCCGCAAAGCATAAAATCCTAGACTCAGTACACAAATGTATTAGATACACAGCGAAGGGGTCCGGGTCCGATTCAGAACCTTCTTTCTGGTTTTCACCGACACTGTCACGGTTTTCACTACGAGATTCCTCTCTCTTTTTTGGTTTCTCAAATATTTTGGCAGTTTTGAGTTTATATAACACTTGTAAAGTCACTGAAAAAGAAAGGTAAAATTGAAAGTATTGTAAAGATTAAATACACACAAAAACAGAAACAGCAAGATAAATTACAAGATTTATTGTAAAATAAACTACATGGATGAAGTTATTTCCCTTGATAAATGTGCACCTATGCACAATGAATAATTTTTTTCAATACTTTATTAGGCCAAAATAAAATTATAGTTTGTTTGGAATTGCCTCCCGCCTCATTGAAATGCCCCCCTCCTGAAAAAATTTTATTGACCAAAAGTAGGAAGATTTTTTTTTTATTTAATCATTTTTTGTTTTACCCATTACATGTATCACACGCACCATACAAAACACTGAAATATGGTGTCAGATCTATGTAAAATTATGTATTTTTGTTCTGAGATTTTTATCAAAAATTTAAAATTTATCTTCAATTAAAAAAAAATAATTTCCCACCCTCCCTCCTGTGTCTGAAAATTCCAAACAAACAATTTTTTAAGGATGGCCTTATGAATTTAAGAAATTGATACATCTCAAAGGTATTTCTTTTTTTGTAAAGAAAATTTTGTTCAGATCAAACTGTACCTGAAGAAGCATCCCAAAATTTTAACGAACCATCAGCATGCCTACAATTAAAACGTTTAGTATCTTAAGACAAAAATTCAAATGAGCAAATTTTATAGTATTATTTCGCTATATTAAAGTCACTTGCAAATTTACGTTATAACTGTAAAAAGTTTTCAAGGAATTGTATGAGAGTTATTCTCTGACCCTAGAAATCTTCACTAAGTTTCTGAGAATTTGATTTATTCATTTAATTACTAAATAAATTTTACTGTTATCATCAGAAAGCAATCTCCAGTAAATCTTACCCAGTGATAAAGATCTCAGGATAACTACACGTTGATGTTCCCCACTCTCCACCATTTATTGGCCAGGACTAAAACAATAAAAAAAAAAATCATCGTAATTTCCCAGCACAGATAATCACTCCCTTTTTAATCTTTTTGATCTAAACGATACACTTTTTTCGTAAAGCAAATAAATTTTAATTCAAACAATATTGTGTGAATGCAATTGGGCAGCAGGATCAACATATTTTAGCCTTCTCCCTAAAGTAAATAAATGTACATTTCTCCAAGAACAATTAAGCACAAAGCATAGCAGATGCACAAAACTCTGGTAGATTTTCTTAAAAATGCATATTTCAGGTAATGAGAACCAATTTAAATTCTCAGAGAGTCAAAGCTGGAATATAATTCCCCTCTGAACTTCTATACAACACCTTTTCACTGAATCCTGAGCGTTTCTGGCGAGAGGACCCCACAGAGTAGAATGCAGGAATGAGATCGGGCGGACAGTTTGCATAATACTGACACGCGGTGACCGGAGATTCGTGAATGTCCATGGGGTAGGGGTTTTCAAAACAGGGGTAGTTAGGGGAGGTCAGGTCCACTACCACAAGGTCATACTGCAGGAGGACCACAATGGCATAGGGTTCCTGGAAGTCTGCCAAAATTTTCAAAAGGACGTCACTCTTTAAACATTGTGTATTGAAAAAATGCCAAATACAATATAGTTATTGAAAGTTTACAATGCATGCAAGTTTACAAGAATCACCTCTGTGAGCAGTTTTGCTTATAAACCTTGTCTTAAATAATTATTTTTAACAAATTGAATTTTAATGTTTTAAAAAAAATAACAAACAAAACATTCTGTACCAAACTGTAAAGATCCATAATGCAATACAATAACAATTCATCAATATCAATTGAATATAAACTGTTTCTTCTTTCTATTACCATTTTGCCAGGGCGTTTCACAGAGCACGACAAAGTCTACAATATTGTGCTCCATTTCCAGGGCTGTGGTACTCTTGCCGTTCATAACAGTGATACTAGGTGTTCTCCCAGCTCTGTCATAGGACATCCCCCCAGAAAAGATGATCAAGGGCTCTCTATAAACAAAACATCAACAATCAAACAAACCGTGATAATCCTGCTGGACCAAAAAAACTACAATAAAGTATTCAACTTTAAAAATTGCAACCTTTATATGTAAAAGTACTATATTTATGAAGAAAACATTCTATTTGTTCTTATTAAATTCTACAAAGTTCTTCAAATTGACAATCTTTAAATCTTTAGCAGCTTTCATCCTAATATTATGTATGGAGAAGAGAAATTTCCATTTACCCATTTCTAACTGATTTCCACTCCACTTTGGTTATTGGTTTACATGGGTTGAGTTTGCCATCTTTGCCCATCTGAGCTAAAAAACAAGAGTACAAAAGAGGTATAGTACAAACAAACTGGAATTCTCTTTCACACTAAAATTAATGTTAAATAAAGCTCTAAGGCTGTCTCAGTTACATCTTTGAATTACTTAGTTAAGCTTGCTGCCAACTTGTTACACATGTGGGGGAAATAAATGGGTTTTGCATTAATTGAATCCAATATGAAATCCTGATGTCTTATTGGTAAATGACACCAGCTTTTAAATGTACCGGGTACAATTTTTTAGGGTCATATCATATAAGAAACAGATATTCAGTTTGCATAAACTTCTTGTATCCAGTATGACTTCTGATCCCTTTTCAGCTCAAAATCAGTAAAATGCTAATGTACTATTATAAAAGGAAACAAACCAAATCATAACCTTACATAACCTCATAGTGTTTACAGAAACTGTTAAAGGCACAACTCAGTCAGCACAAACAAAGTTAAGAACAAAGACATGAAACAAATCACGAAGACTTCATGAGAATGCAGCAGTACATTATTTAGTTGACTGGTTTTTAGATGAGAGATGATCGTCATTAGACCCTTCAAAAACAAACAAATAGTTGTCAAAATTTCAAAAGCACTATTTGTTTTCCACAAGCTTCTGATTAGAACCGTTCCTTTGCCAAAGTTGTTGACATAGAGTTTATGGTCAATTTCATCCCTTCAGTTTACCTGAGAAGATATTCAAGATAATGATGTCATAAGAGCATGCTGACTTAATTGAAAGAGGAATGATGAGTTTGTTCACTTTGTTGCCCAGATACACATGAAAAGGGATTAATTCAGTGATTGTTTTGTAATCTTCTCTGTTGAAATGCATTTATGATGACTCAGCTAGGGAAGTCTTATTGTTTAGTATCTTAAAAAAATACAAGTTTAAAAAATGTCATATGCAGTCCTTTACAGGAAAATTTATCAAGATATTTGAAAATCTGAATGAAAACTTTCCTGCAATCATATTACGTTTTTAATAAGTGTTACAGTAGTATATTTTTCTTCATTAAAGCAAGGTATTAAATGAAAGCATTGGATACAAGGTAATGTATAATAAAAACCAAGTCTGAATGAAAAACCTTCCAAGAAAGTGGATGACAAAATGAACCCAGTCTCCAAAGAAATTCTGCTCAATTATTTCTTCAATGGAGTTCTCCCAGACAATAAACAAGGAACTATCATATTTCTTAACCTTCACATTTTATCATGTTTATGTACACAGATATATATGTGTGTCTCACAAATAGAACTATGATCATAGGTCAACAACCCTATACCTCACCTGCCACTAAAAGACAATATCTTGCCTGCAGGAAAGTCAAATTTTTTTTTTTCACTTTGAAATTCATTATCGTAACTTGAAAATTAAAAAAATCTGACTTGTACGTCTAAAGTCCTTTCTCTTCGCATTGTTGTTATGGTTACCTGTTGATTTACACTACTCTCCGTGAACCCGGAACTTAAATGGGAGACAATTTACATTGACGGATAGACAATCCCTATTACATGGGAATTGTCTGCTTTTAACATCTGCTGCTAGGCTAGAAGTCTCTGTCTGTACAAGTCTCTTGAGAAGATCAGTTTCCTTAGCTCATTATTGTCTACTCATAAGGCAGTCCTCTAAAACATTAATTTAGAGATAAACTTCATTCATCTCATTTGGCAGTGATGCACTTTTGCAGTCAAATCAGTATTCTTTTTTTTTGCATAAGAAATTGCTTAATAAAGGGCAATTCAAGAGCTCAGTGTGTGTCAGGCTGCTAAGATCTGGAAAGACGATCAAGTATGAAGATTTCAACAATGAGATACCACCATAAATGTGGTACTACTTGCTCTGAATATCATGTGGCTCTGTAAATATGGCAACATTTATCAGGTAGCAGCATTGAATCTTCAATTACAATGCAGCATCATAAACACAGCAATGGCTAGATCATATTGCATCATCACTTCAAAAAGGTATTCAAAAGTGGTAAATCACACCAATATTCATTTATCAATGTAGCAACATTTACCATAAAAGTACACCAGCACAAGTAAACATGACCAAAACAAAACTTGACCTAGATATTTTTCTGACAAATCTGTATACCAAATTTCATTTCAATATGTGCAACCTCTGCAAAGAAAATAAATGGAAGCTGATGGTGGACCGACAGACAGATGGACCGACAGACAGCAGCAAAGCAATATCCCCTTCCCTTCTTCAAAGTCGGGCCATCGGTTATGTACCAACTTAATGTATATCATAATGCATCAAAACAAAATGGGTACATAACTGAGTTGATGAAAAATAAATTACCATTTGCCATGGATTATGTGGCAACCAATACCATGAGACATCATAACAATAATGACAACACAATGGAGTTAAAGAAGAAATAGATGATTTCCATTGTCTTATGACAACACCTACCATGTGGCATCATAACGCTGACGGGCTTCTGTGGATGTTTGATGTTGTATGTGGTGATGCTCCCATCAGTGTGGCTACACATGAACTGTTTCCCTTCATGATGCCAGGACACAGAACGCAGGGCCTACAAAACGAAAAATATTTCATTACTTCCTTGGAAATTACACTGTCAAACACAGAACACAGGGTCTACAAAATTAAAGTTATTTCAAGATTTCCTTAGAATACTGTCATTACAATTATAGAGCAACAAATACCTTGATTACAAAATGGGGGGGCAATGAAAAAATTACTTGTATTACAATATTATCAGATTCAAAGGTATTTTAACAAATTAACAGGTAGTGACGTAATGTAAAATTGGCAGAGAAAGAATGTAAAATGAAACAGGATGTCTCTAGTTTGGCTTTATGGTCATGCTACTGAGAGGAGAGTAAACAATTCATGAATATATATAATGCTTCTCTTTATCAGGCACATGGGTGTGCAGCATCATGTGATTTTATGGGGATATTATACAACTAGTAATAAACTGTAGATAATCCATCCATTAAAATATATCAACTTTTATGACCCCTCCCCCTTTTCATAAAGAAATTATCATGTGTCATGCACGTTACAGGAAAAAATTCAAAGAAAATATTGAACAAAAGAATTGCAATATTCAATATATGTATAAACTTTAGTAATTCCTTTGTTCAAATCTTGAAACAATAACTTCAGCCTGTTCAGATTAATTCTAAATGTATAGGAAACAAATTCATTCATTTATTCAGATTCTACCCCATCCCCTTTAAAATCTGATTTGTTTACCTCAGGTAAGTTATATCTGCACTCAGCTGTTTTACTCTTCAAATCCCACAGCACAATGGTCCCCGTCTCAAATCCTATTAATAACTGCAAAAGTAAAGGTGAAGGTCAGATTTGCAGGAAAATTGATAGAACAGTGCAGCTTTATTTTACATACTATGCTGCCTGAATTACCATTAATCTAAATATGTAAACTGTGTTAACATTCATTATGTCAAGATATGCCCTAAATATGAGTATTTTTTTTGAACTTTCCTATACATAATGTCAACTCCATATGGGGGGGGGGGACATTTACTCACACTACTATTGGTTGTGTCAACCTTCCATTATATTATGTCAACTCTTTATGACATTAACCCACACTACTACTGCATTGTGTCAACCTTCCATTATATTGTGTCGATTCTTTATGATATTATCCCACACTACTATTGCATCGTGTAAACCTTCCTTTACATTATGTCAACACTTTATGACATTTACACATTCTTGCATTTCGTTATGTTTACTGTTCATGACATTTAATTAAACAACAATTACATTGTGTTAACCTATCATTACATTATGTCAATTCTTTATGATATTAACTCACACTACTACATTATGTCGACACAATATTGACAAGAATAAGATTTTATAAAAGAATCTTGCATACATATCCCTTGTCTACATATGTCAAAGCAATTGTTTAATCAATGTTAAAAGCACTCAAAAGGTTAAAAGAAAGAAATTTTGACAGAAAAGTGACATGGTATTTCTCCATTATTATCATTCTTTGCTAAGACAACTTTTTGCACTGGATTGTACTACTATCAGTTTTGTAGACCGCTCTGCAGATCATCTCACTTTCAAAATTCAATCAAAGATGTCTGTAACAGACAGTTTTCATTTTCCAACATTTTGTTCAATCATGAGTATATTTCCTTTCTGCAATTCATTACCCCCAAAATAATTCTTGAGGGAACATTTCAAATCAGCGTGCAATGCAAAAAGACATTCAAGAGAACACAAAACACCATATTTGGTAACTGAACCATGTTGCCAAAGAACATCCCATTCTACCATTAACCTATAACACCAGCATGATTCTCTCTTTCCATCCATTAAGCCACACTAGTTATGTATATATATCTTTGGAGGTGGACCTTTGGGAAAACACTGGAATACTCTTTTAAACCGATTGGGTTTCTATAAATAGAATTTGGATCAATGTGTTGACCTCAAATGGGAAGATCTAAATAACAGGCAGATTTTAAACACACTATAACATCAAAGATAGCGATTAAGTTATATTATGTTTATGATATTTTTTGCTTGCATTCATCTTCTTTTATGATCTATAGAATTAAATGAAGAATGTTTACATATGGAAAAATCACTTGACATTTGAAACAATTTCATCTCATTAAAAAATCTAAGAACAACTTGTAGTACTTTATTGATTTAATGTCTTTTAGTTTATTTAAATGCAATTAATTCAAATTTACTTGTACATATACCGGTAAGAGAGAGAGAGAGACAGAATCTGTTGATTTGATCATCAAGGTATTACTTTATTGATTTAAATATTCTGATACATGTATAAAAATTTATTGAACATGAAGGTGAAAATACAATCTGGCTTTTTTTCTTAATTTGTGCATCATTTTCCTCCTATTAAAACGAACTACTGTTCAAGAAGCAGTCAGGAAGCCATTGCTTGACACTCTCTGTAGAAATGAAGTGTAAAACACTCTGATCCCCGCTGATAACAAAGTGTTCTGACAACTTATTGATCAAACAAACTAACTTGTTTAAAATGCCCTTGTTTGCCTCCTTAATGGCAAAGATGAACTTTTTTCACCCCTAGAAAAAAATATTCATTGATCCACCCTTCACGAAAAGTCATTTTCAGCCTGATTTAGAGGTCCTTCTCTAGTGAGCAGTTTGTTTTTGAAAAAAATGGATGTACCAGACCTTTGTGGCAAATATCTAGATAACATACCCTGATGAAAATATTTTTTTTAATTTCTAACAATTCAACTTTTTATTTCATTACTGAATTTCATATGATGGTGATAAGGCTCTCTGTAAAAAAAAATTGTCAGGTTGCCCTTTCCCAACCAACTGATTAAAATGGCCCTACTCAAAACTTTTTTACATTCCATGATAAAATATATTTTTCTTTTGAAATTTTCTGGGGGAAAAAATCCTACCTATATGTACCTACAGACCAAATTTTTCTTTACAAAGAGTGGAGAGAGAACAAACAAACTATTTAAAAGATGGTATAATAAAAGCATGAGTTTTGTGTAAATGAATTTCATTGACTATGATTCTTCAATGTTTGTTTTTGAAAAGATACAAAAATGCGATCATAAATAAGTGCATGTTCATCCAATTGAGATAAACTTTTTGGAGAAACCCATTTTAAAATTATTGAGTGTTTACCAATGAAAACAGATGTCAGAACCTCAATGCAACTTAACTGTGTTGCTGTGTGTTTTTAGCATTTTGGGAGATGTCCTCACCTTATTGGGATCTATAGGACAGTCGGTCAAACTGACCACTGGACCAGGGTGCGTCTTCCTTGATCTACAAAGAAAAAAAAAGATCATCATTTAATTCAGACCTGTCAATCTTAAAAGAATTCAGAATCTGGTACAATCATGATGCAAGATTTTTTTCCCCCGGCCTCTGATGATTTTCGTGTGCCAATGAAGAAGTGCAGGGAACAGGCTATAATCAATTTAACCTTTTCTATTTCCAGAATGTTTTGTATCTCATTACAACTCTCTTAAACCTACAGTGCACAAAAACCAGCCCCGATTGAGCTGTTTTTTGTCGTATTAGGTCATAGATGGATTGAATCTGCCCGTTATACATGGTTATAAAGTAATCTGTTGTCTGGTTGCATCACTGCAGTTGTGGAGATCAATAAATATTAGTATGTCTTTCACGGGGCCTGCTCATTCCACGACTCCGAATTAATCAAATTTGACATTTAGAAATTTCATTGATTTTCCTCAAAAGAAACGGGACTGCAATTTCTTTTCAACTACTTTTTTTGTTTCATCATGTCACATTTGAAGGCTCAGATTGAGAATGCTAAAAGTCTCGACGCCTCTTAAGCCACCTACGTTAATTTTAGATTGCAGTAGCTGGACAATTTCTTAATTTAGACCTCTTAGTTCAAAACAAAAAGAAACAATAAAGATCGAATCTATGCAAGTCCATATATAGTAATGATTCTATAATTATAAATTCAAAGTCGAAAAACATTCTGCATTTTCCTGAGCCCGGGCTCCTATTGGCACAAGGCCAAATCAAATTTGATCAAATCAGAATAATAGTTTTTCAGCATCCATGTTTTGTGAAAATGAAATCAAAGAATTTCTTTTTCAGAATTTTTTTTTTCATAATTAAAATGACTGAATTAAAGAGAAATATTTGCTACCATACAGACATTTGCAGTGACTTTTATAAATCTACTTTGCTGCGTGTCCAATTGTTTTCAATGATACTTAGAGTTAATTATTATATGTAAATAAATTCCATATTTTGCTTTCAGAAAATGCTGCTTTGTAAGTTGGACAGAGTTTTAAGCAAAAATATGCCTCCAAAATATGACATGTAGGTGTTTGTGATGCATTTAAAATTCTAAGGCAATTACATGTAATTTTTTTACCTTCAGATAAATAGAGTGAATTCATCTGAATAAGTTTATGTGACCAGTTGAAAACCTTTAAAAGTAGAATCTCTTGCAAAGCTTTATTCATGCATCTGACAATCCCTGAAATTTTTACACGTTTTAAAGACGATATCTTTTTCTAATAACCTAAAGAATATTTTGGTTTGCATCATGAATTTCCTATCATGGCTAATGATTCCTCTTAATGCTGCCCTAAAAGTAATTAAACCTCCTAAATGTGATTAATTCTAAGCACTACATTTGTTTTTATTGTCATGCAAAGTTGGGCAAATCCTTGTTTATCACAAAACTCACAATTACATCTCAATATTCAATATGATCCCTGAATTATGCATACATCCCCTTTTCATCACCCAGATTGCAATTTTATTGATGGATCAACAGCCAGTGATGAATGCCGCAGATAACCCAAATGTACAGACTCCATCAAAGGAGAAAACGAGCCACCGTCCTTGTATATGCTTCAGCTTACAATGTTATTGTACAAAACAAGGCTGATTATGTCCTACACCATATAACCCATAGTGTTACGCAACATGCCAATAGCTACACAAATCACCCTGTACCAACAACTTTGATTTACTAATCAAATCCAGTAATTTAATTTTCTCTGCAACCTCATTCCTCCATTTTAATTTTTTTTCCATTTGCAGACCCAGTATGAGCTTGCTGGCAGCTTTTGTGTCTTTTGGGAGAGACTTTGTGGATTCTGTTACAAATTTGATTAATGCCTCATGCTGCCTTGAAAAATTCAATTTATAAACTGATTTCGTTTTAACATGTTAAAGGAACTAAATTATGTCAAAATGCTGTTTAGTAATATTCCTCAACAACTATTAATATAGTAATTAAACCTGTGAACTATTGTTGATTCTAACATGTTCTTCCCTTAAGCTTACTGTACCAACTCTTTCTGGTCAAGAACAATTTTTTTTTCACAATATGGCTATTCAAATTAATTTGCTGAAAAAAATTGAATAATTAAAATTCATATTTTCAAGAAAACATATTTTACAGAGGTTGAAAAAGAATAGGACTTTTTTTTATGAAAAAAAGACAAATGGAAAATAATTCATGAGTGACTTAAATGCAAGTTAAATATAAGTATGTCAAATTGTGAAAATTATATTAAGATTAAACTGATAAAATTTGTACATTTGCTTACAGAATCTTCCAGAGATACGGTCAAGCAGTCAATTTAAACTATAGATTTTTATTGATCTCTTAAACTAAATTTTTTTCATGATGTAAAAAAAGAAAAAGTTACTATAACTAATGTAAAGCAGCCTAAACGATTTTTATGGTGTTTAATCTATCGTGCTGCTTGCACTTTCCAGTAGCAAACACATAAAGATAGATGTGCCTTAAGTGCAAGCTGTTTCCTCCTTCAATTACTTTTCACACAGCATCCCACTGGCTGGTCACATAATATAGCCTGGTCAATAATTCCTTGACGTGTAAAAAAAGATGTATTTTACTCTCGATAAACAATAGCCAGATCATGGTCTTTTTCTGGGGTCCTTGTAAATTTGGAGGGATTGATTCTGGGGTCCTACACTGCAATTAACCCCTCAGATGTGCATTGTGTGGGTTGTGGTATCAGTAGCACTGTTATGAAACACCCTTCAAAGCTGTCGAAATTTCATCAATAATGAACCAATTAATGAAGACAAAATAAACTATGACCTACTCCTTAAGAAAGATTTCTTTCTCATCTGTTGAACTGCAACCTTTAGATTTGATAAAGACACAAAAATCAGAGGAGACATACTATATAATATTTAAAGATACATTTTACTTGGAGAACAATGACAAAACCTTGATGAGGGAAGTGATTTGTTGTTTTTATTTTATTGATTTAGCAATAAAAAGGGTCAGATGTGAAATATTTTTTTTGGCCTTCAAGATACATTTTACATGGAGAACAATGACATTCCAGATGTGAAATATTGTAGGGGAAAAAAGGGATATAAAAATGGCTGAAGATCACTTAGCTTAATTAAAACAGTTCACCTTTTTCTCATATTGAAGAAGAATCATCTTTAATATGACCAATAATGGAAACACTGGCAGTGTGTGCATACTCACAGTTCAATAGCCTTGTTCCAATTGATGACATAACCAGACAGGGTAAAAGTCTCAATATTGGCCATGTGGACATTTCCCCTCTCTGTGCCTACATACAGCCATTTACTCTGGAAAGGCAAGTGGCAATAGGTTATCCTGCAAAAAAAAAGAAAAAAACATCATCAGCATAAATTTCATTGTCCTTTCAAATAAGAAAGAATGATTTCTATTATGAGATTTTATTTATTAATTGGACAAACACAAGTCCTTTCCAATTGACACAATTTGAGCCGTTTGTTTTTCTGTGATATGTTGATGAAAAAAGACCTTTATATAGATCTATATTAATAAAGTGCATTTATAAAGTCAGTTCATTTTCTGCTGATGTATCAAATTATTAAGCTATACTCAATTTCCTATCTTTTACACTATTAATGGTATACATGTATGTATTTACCATCATAAAATCTATATAACCCTATCAAATTATAACATGTTGTACACAGTATAACCATTACAAGATACAAATCATAACATTAATGTGATACAAGATTATCCGATATTTATTATGATCGCAACTTAAGAACACCTTTTTTTTTCCCTGTGACAGACTGTGCAACCTGAGATAAACAAGGCCCCTACAGCTGTATATAGTGAGAATAACTAGACCCCTTCGATGCCAAGACAAGCAACCTGAAATCCAATACAATTGATCTACGTGTTTTGTGCAGGAATCTGGGTCATTTCATCATAGTTGTCTATGAAAATTTCAAATCCAGTCATTGTTCAATTGCCGCATAAACAATAGATTTCTGTCTACCCGGAAACAAAGTATTACCGATAAAATGCAGAAAATTGTCCGTCCAACTCCAGGATCAATATTTCTCTTTGACCTTCACCTGAAGTTTCTAAATTATCATATTCATCTCTTAGAATAGTTTTTTTTTTTTTACCACTTGACTGCACAAAACGGAAGTTCAGGGAATCTGAAAGCTACCGGTTGTCACATCATGTGGCATACAAAAGACTTTTATTGTGCTACATTTTATTGAGCTAAATCAATTACTGCTTTTCTTGTACCCAACATCTACCGCAATCATTGTCAAACAAGTGCAACTCGGAAGAATAAATATTTACGTTCACTACGTACAATATACTGCAGATATACTGAATCAAGCGGTATATGATGGTGTATGGCATTTTGGCAGGTAAAGTCCACCAAATAGAAGGGAGAACACTCCAGCACTTAACTACAGCACCAAAGTAAAACAGACTTTTAAATTTAAATTATATATGTAATATTATCATAAGGGTAACATAAGAAAGCATGCTTGCATGAAATGTCATCAGAGTAAGTAATTTATGAAGGCATGATATGACTAAAGGGGAATATAGTTTACTTAATCATGTTAATAATCAAAACTTATGTTTTATAGTGCACTTTTGTGCATGTGCTGACTTTTTGAAATTTGAATGTTTTAAAATCATCCTTTTTCTCGCAAACCAAACAAAATATCTATCTTTAATGTATCACACTGAAGTCATCCATGGGTGGAGCTTTTATATTTTTTTCAAACTGAAAATAATGAGGGTGGTTAATAATAGGGGCAGTGGGCAAGGAGGTACTGGCATATTTACTAAAATGTTCAGCATTCAGTGATGTTTCAAATGTCCAATACAGCTTTTCATGATATGAAATGCATTTTGGACAGGACATAAAGTGACTCATTGGGTGAAATTGCCACAATATAGCTTTAAATAAAATGGTATTGTTACTGTAGTATTATATATGGTACTGTTTTTATTTCACATTATCCCAAATTAAATTCATATAATTCATTTGTATTATTTCCTCAGTAAAAGATAAGAAAGGTCAATTTTGAAACTTTCTGGCATGTGTATCTGTGTTACTTAACTGACAACAAAAAACTAGAAAGATAAATTGATTGACAAATATCACTGAAGGAAAGAACGAACTGAACCAATTTCATGCTGGAAGATTATAATTGTATTTTTTACAAAATGAAACCTTGACTTTGAAAAAGTATTGCTTGCACAACAGAATTAAAACCTTGATGAAACTAGAGGTACTGTGAGCGATGAGCTATTTACTAAAATGTTCAGCATTCAGCCTCCCATATGGTTATAACTGGTGAAAAATGCATGTTTTCCTGTGTGCCGGGAAATTGCCAAAATATGTGTAAATAAAAAAGTAAATATATGGAGGTGCACAATGGCAACATGTAATAAAGATTCTATGAAAGTTTCATCAAATTTCATTCAGTGGTATGAGAGGAGTTGCAACAAAAAACTAGAAAGATAAATTGATTGACAAATATCACAAAAAGCGAACTGAACCAATTTCATGTTGGAAGATTATAATTGTATTTTTTACAAAATGAAACCTTGATTTTGAAAAAGTATTGCTTGCACAACAGAATTAAAACCTTGATGAAATAATACATGTTCATAGCAAGTTACACTCAATCATACAAGACACACCATATAAAACAATCGCCTGGCAATATCTCTGATAATAATAAATTTCTTCAAACACTACAGGTTAATCAACATAAAGTCTTATTTCAGTGCAATATAAATAACTTGTCTCCTTAAAAAATACTGTAGATTTTTCTTAATTATCTATTGGATTAATTGTGATATTAAAACTACTTGAAAACAATTAATAGTAAGTTTGAACAAAATGGCTATAAGCTTGAACAGATCCTTTTTTTTGTAAAAAGTTAATAACTGATAAATATTTGTTTCACTTTCACATTGCTATCGAGCAATTGCTACATGTCAATATATAAAACGATTATGCTCGCTGGCAAAACCATGCTATCCGTTAGCTATTGTATAGGAATGCTATTAAATGCATATCAAGTACATCATGTAGGGTATGTCTTTTAACCACAATGAACCACAAGGTTCCTTGTGGTTCATTGTGGTTAAAAGACATACCCCATCATGTACCTTGGAAAAGTTTTCTATATTTACCATTTCTTAACTCTGGCTTCTGTTGGGGAAAGAGAAGATTAGAGTAATATGTACAGTACCTAATCTGTATATATATATATAGTTTGGTATTTTATTTTTTCAGTAATGCTGATTGTGCAGTAATTATTATTCCTGCATAGAATTATACACAGTATATATCAGTTTAGTTCCCCTCAGACAGTAAGATCTTCACTGACCTTTAGCAGGTACTAACACAATAACCTTATATAAAAGAACTCATAAAAAATCTCAGATACAAGGAAACTGCATGCTGCACTAAGAATGTAATACATTACAGACAAGATAGATGTGAGTAATATTAGTTAAGGAGTTATGCAAGTCCTGTGATTTCCTTCTGACCAAGTTTATCAGAGCTAGTACACCTTTCATAAAACATTATATAAAAGAAATGATCACAGCAAAAGTTGACAATATATATATTATATGTCTTTCATCGTCTCCAGCAGCTTAATACCACAACAAGATGACAGTACATATATACCAAATAGCAAAACAGGAAGTCATTTCTTAGAAAAAAAAAAACAAATCTCTCCTTCATCAATAACCTCACTCAGAGTATGAAAAATTCCCAGCAATAAACTCATCTTAAATTCCACATTAAAAATGATTGGCCCAATATACAAGTCTGATTGTTTTCCCTCCCAATATCCCCTTGTTATTTTGATGCTGGAGATAGAAATTTCAAGGTCACTGACACAGGCATAGCAAATTAATACAATTGATTTTTTCACAGTTTTGTATCCCGATCAGATGCCTGCTGACACTGTATTACTTTAGAGCACCACATTTGGTTTCATTAAGTGCACTTAGCCAGAGATTATGTACAGAAATGGATAAAACCAAGAGACTGACAGCCAGGCTTTTTGTTGACACTCTCAAATTGGGCTCAAATTAGCCTGGCCTTAAATAAGTCCACAGTATTGATATCTTTCCTGAATTTCCTAAATGTCAAGTAAAGCAATTTTTTGTAAATTCTGAACTTCTAACAGTGAAATCTTATTTTACTGCACAATTACTTTTAATGCAATTCCTGCAGAAATTGAACAAACTGATAATTTGCATTGAAATATTTTGCATAACTCATAAATATCCAATATTTTTAAGCAAAGAATTATCAAGAGTATGAATGTAATTGAAAGAAATGGTCAAATTACTCAAATTGCATCAAAGAGCCATGCTTCCGTATAGCATGAACTATAAATGGAAGTTCCTAGAAAGAATTAATGGCTTTTTAGCATCAGGTTTCCTGATCTAAAAAGAAACCTTTAATGACCTTAATGACTTGGCCCATTAGATAAAAGCATCCTGGTCACATCTAAGTTAAAAGAACCTTCTTCATGTTCTTACACACTACACTGTAACTTCAACAGTCTTATCTCTTCCTGTAAACACCATGATATGTCCTGAATGAAACACAATTTGAAATCGATGAATTTTACATTTTGAGTCTTCAGGGCATTATCCTAGACATAGAATCTTAACAGTTTATTAACAACAAGGGTATTTTGTTGGGGAAAAAAGTATATATATTTTTTAAACTGTTTGCTTTTTGTTTAATCAAATAAAATTTCAATTCCACCTGAGGTATTCTGAAACAGGACAATTCATTCAAAAGTCAGCCATAATGGGGGCAAAGATATTGTTACATTTTCTTGAGGGATTATCATGAAACTTCTCATATATGATAAGAATCAGTGAGCATATTACTATGGAGGATCCATAGTTGGTGACAATGGTTTCATCAATATAATATTTACTAAAATGTCATCATGTGTGGTAAAGACTTTTCCCGGGCAGATAAGCTTGAAATTGGATGACAAAACTGGATGGAATTAATCTCCATTATCAGCCAATATATATCAATCCTATTCCAACAAACTTTCTGGGTACTAAATGCCTTGGAGTCATTAAACTCTCAAACTTGTTAAGAGAGACTTTTGTCTTCTTATATGTCTCAGAATAAATACAGACCTCTCATTTACATTCTAAAAGAATATGGGAAAAAAGATCATTTTCCTCTCTCTTTTAATTGTTTTACTTACAAAGATCTCTACAGATGTTCATTATTTCTTATAATTTAAAAATGATTTAAGATTGAGTTGTCTCTCTTTTTCAAAATTAGGCAAAATCATAGTGCAAAGGACATAATTTTGATTCCTTGTAAATGTAATTCATTGCATATTTTAAGTTTCTAGTACACTTTCAACTAAAGGGAATGAAAATCACTTCATTGTTAGCAAGGATTTCTGAAAAGGATTATTCACTGTAGCATTTAATTTTTTAAGAAACAGGGTTGTTATGAATTTTAACGTTCAATCAGGGAGACCTTTGATTAGAATAGATTATTATAGACTGGACTTGTCTCTGAAATCACTTAGCATCATTTTAATATATAAAGAAGTCATACACACAAATCATACAAGCTAGACCTGATTTTTGAAAAAACTGATCCCCCAACACTTTTTATCTATGGACAATTTCATGAATATTCATATAATGTAAAGCAAGGATTGTTGTAATGATCAATCCATTAAAAAAAATTGTCACAAATACAAACCTTTCTCTTTGGAACTTGAGAGTGTGAACGATTTCTGGCCTTTTCTGTCTGTAGTTCCAAAGGTGTATGCTGTCATCTGAGCAAACGGTAACAAGTGCACCCTGCAATATCAAACTGTTGTGTTCAAATGTATCCAACTTAATCAACAAGCTCTGTAAATCTTCAAAAACTATGTCCGATCACCAGCAGTCATTAGGTATCACAGTTTTTCCACTGCCTTAAAAGCTGGCTTAATTATAATACTTTAAACATGTTAAAAGTAGAAATGTATTATAGCAGGATGATTGACACTCTTATATTATGTGCATGCTGATTGCAGCAATGTTCCCCTTAAATCTTCATACAGAATGCATTTTTTGGCATATACAGACCATACACATGATAAACATTAATTCTGTGATGTAAATAAGGCCATTGCAGGGTAAAAATAAAACACACTTTTTTAAACTTATACACTGTAAGTTGTACATTTCATCTGAAATTCATAAAGAAATGTTTTTTTTTCTTTAAAATTACACACTCCTGTATAGGAACATTACCAAAATATTTCTATTATCTAAGGGGAAAGGGGACCTGAAAATAGATTTTTCTCTGTCAAGTGAGGAATCAATGAATGCTATTCTACTAGTACATGTATATAAACTTTGGTCAAATGAACCAGCCTACCGAGATGAACAATTTTTTTGTTCATCAACATTCCCATAAATGGAGATTGATTGATCAAGAATTTATTTTACTTATAAAACACTTAACGAGGCTAGGGGGTGGCAGCCATTTTTAGACTATTTCAATCTCCTTTAAAAGGAGAGCTCCATATAAAGATATACAAAATGATGAAATTCTAAAACTAAAATATATGAATTTTTTCTTTGTCAAATGATAGTTGACAGCTAAAGATACCGTGTCTAAAAAAATAATTAAAATCTGATGGTTAATTTGGGATTAATTTGTTGACCCTCCAGCCTCCTTAAGTCCTATATAGTTATATTCAAAGCACTGAAGCTTCAACAGCTGCGAATTTGAAAAAAAAGTCTATGCCAATTTGAGGTTACAAAAGAGAACAAGAAGTCCATTAATTTAAGTCACTTAACTCACCAAAGCACAAAAGCTAGGAAAATGCAGCAATTGGGTTAAGTATTGGAAAAGATTACAGAGAGTGATTGCAAATACACCCTCACCCCACCCCTGAAAAAAAGGGGGATGAGCATGATTTGTTCACACTTGAATCTAGTACAAGTCAGAAGAAATCACGTCTAATTTTGGTCATTTTGCTTTGGGTCAACAGACTCTGATCCCACTAGCTGCACAATACACTTCTGAATACACTGCAGAATCCCAGGAGTTTCTGGGAGAAATGTTACCTCGTTAATAAGGAACAGGATCTGTATAACTGCCACCTCTGTTCCATGGCTGCAGTGGATGTCCACCCCAGGTCTTCCCAATCTAAGCCTGTGTCAAGGAATCTTATACATACAGATACAATGACATTTACTTATGAAAGGGATAAAAAAAAGAAATGCTTTTTCTGCAGTCATAACTTATTAGAAAAATTTCCCTAGTAATGAATATAGTTAATATTTCATCTACTCTCTCTCTCTCTCTCTCTCTCTCTCTCATCTAATACCATAAGACTTAAACAATCAAGAAAGATTACGCCAATACTTTGTTGAAAATATCAGCTTTCATTTGCACTTTAACTTAGCCTTCAATCATCACAATAAGAAAATCCATCCCCTTTTATAATTAGACTAATTCTTACAGTAATCCACAGCTTGTAAATACTTAATTTGTACAGTTATGACTTTCCAATAAATAAAGTAAATATAATTTAAGTGAATACAAAACAAATTCTCAAGGATTTTTTATTACTACACTTGAATCAATATCAGAAAACCACAGATGAACATTAAAGAAAAATTTTTTTGGGGGGGGGGATCTTCTTTCCTGAACTTTCAATTCATGCCACCTACACATGTACATGCAGATGCTATTTTTGTAAATGACCCTTCTAAAATAGCACAGATTTACAAATATGTGGATGCATCTCCTTTTAAAATGATTGCTTCACATGGTTTAACAATATTTATTGGTAAAGTCACGCCTTGCATTAGACCATATCAAGGCTATTCACGGTTTCCAAATCCGTGAACAAACACTGGATAGATGTAAACTTTCATTAAACTTGCTTTCTTTGAACTTAATGTTGACATACATACTTCAAAATCTTTAATAGATTTCAATACAATTCAATCTGGTAAACTTTATTGGGTTTTCACCTAATTTGACCATCACAACAGTATAGATTCTGATCTTTAGCAAGGTTATTATAACCCACCAATGGTGGCATGTGCATGTATTAGATATATTCTGAAGGGTGGGGGGTTATGGGGGATTTGATCAATTTGTACTTTTTTCGTCTTAAATTTTCCTTAATTTTTAAAGCAAAAAATCCTTCTCTTCAGCGTGCATGGATAAATCGAATGCTAAAACCTTGGTATTATGACTTATTCATATCCAAATTCAAAAAAAAAAAAATGTTCTTATCCATCCAAATGGCATTAAATTTAATGATTTTACTCGCACTCTTATACATTCAATTAAGACCATCCGATCAGCTTCTGCAATATGTTTAAAAAACTTCTCCCATTTCACAAACTTCCACCTACGTTTATTTTTTAATTACCACACATTGTTAATTTTTCATGGTGATATATTAAACCTTTTAAATATTAGATGTACCAGATCAATTGTATTTCCAAGTCAAAAGATTTACAGCAGGGGTAAGAATCAATATAAGTATCTTCATCAGCAAATTGACTCACAAATTCAGCATTTAAAAAAAAATCCAAGCTCTCATCACAGTTATTCAATTCCAGTTGGCTGCATAAAAATCTAATTGCTATTCACAATTAAAACAAAGATGGATTTTTGCAAAAAAAGGTAACAAACAGTCCTGGAGAAATCTTGAGAAAAGTTAGATCTACAAGTTACTTCTACATAAATCATACTAGAAAATGAATATGCTTTCAAGACCGCTTTTCCCGACTTCTTTCACTAAATTCAGCATGAGAAATTTTTCATTTACTGGCAGCAGGTACATATGGGAAAACATTTACCATTATTGAAAATATTAGTTTTTCTACTATTAAAAATTCATTTCAAATTCCATAAATCCATTTTTTTCCCATGTCTCCTTATAAATTTTTTGACTTGGTTCACAAACTGAAAACAAGAGATGTTTGTAAAACACTTATGCCCCACTCCCCCCAAATTGGAATTTTTCCAAGTCCAAGGGGCATAACTCTGTCAAAAATGGCCCGATTGTACCCAAAACAGAACTAATTGACCTAGATATTCATCTGATAAATCTGTATACTAAATTTCATCTCAGCATGTGCAACGGTTGTGAAGAAAATGAACGGAAACTACAAATAACTGGAATTTTTCTAAGTCCAAGGGGCATAACTCTGTCAAAAATGGCGCGATCATACCAAAACCAGAACTTATCCTAGATATTCACGTGATATATCTGTATACTAAATTTCATCTCAGTATGTGCAACGGTTGTAAAGAAAATGAACAGAAACTGCAAATAATTGGAATTTTTCTAAGTCCAAGGGGCATAACTCTGTCAAAAATTGCACATGTGATATATCTGTATACTAAATTTCATCTCAGTATATGCAACAGTTGTGAGGAAAATGAACGGAAACTGCAAAATTTCATAATTGAAATTTTTGGAATTTTTCGTATCCAAACCAGAACTTGTCCTAGATATTCATGTGATATATCTGTATACTAAATTTCATCTCAGTATGTGCAACGGTTGTAAAGAAAATGAACAGAAACTGCAAATAATTGGAATTTTTCTAAGTCCAAGGGGCAAAACTCTGTCAAAAATGGCGCGATCGTACCCGAAACAGAACTTGACCTAGATATTCATGTGACATATCTGTATACCAAATTTCATTTCAGTATGTGCAACGGTTGCGAAGAAAATGAATGGAAACTAAGCGGACCGACAGACAGACGGACCGACAGACAGCAGCAAAGCAATATGCCCTCCCTTCTTCGAAGGGGGGCATAATAAAACACTATATATACATGTATACATACATAGCAATAAAGGTATATTTAATAGAGTTTTTAAAAGTGGACATTAATTTCATATCATGCCTTGGACTCTCAATAACGTTACAATTTACTTAATTACGTACTGTATGCATGTAATCATTTCTACTGCATTTACTTCAAGCATATGGCAGAAGAATTACAGAGAACTTTCAGTCCTTGAATGAGTTCTTTGAGACAAAACCTAGCTACACTTCCTATGAGACAGCTTAAAAGCACATATAGATGCCAGCCTCATCATCTGTCACTTCCAAACTCTCGCAAAGGTAGAAATGACGCAAGAAACACTGCTGATGCTGACAGCTTTTCTAAAGAGAATTCATTTCAGGGCCTTGTGTACATGACAATATCTCAGAGATCAATATTTTAGGCTTTTTTCCCTCAATTCATTAAATTTCACCAGTATATATATCTGATTATCATGAATTACACAATATATTTAATATTAAGCTGAGGGCCTATAAATCTACATTTAATTATATCCCAACCGAAGTTTTATATTTAGTGTTTGTATGAGCAGAGGCACAATTGCAAGTCAATTTGGCACACAGTCTGCTTGCAAATTGATTAATATGTATGTAGAAACTATATGACAAAATGATATTCAGCATTTACTTGCTCAAGTTAAGTGATTTAATATAAGCAATAAAATTAAACCAAATTATATGTAAAGTTCTAATAGCATTTACAATTCTAGTTCAAAAACTTGAACTACATGCAGGGTTTCGAATCTTATTTACGGCAAATTCAAATATGCACTAGTCAGAAAAAGAGCATTGTTTTTTGTTAGGGTTTTTTGCAACACTGCAGCAAGCAAATAACATTAGACACCATTCTCGCTGGAACAAATAAACATCTTTGATTCATTTGGTTATGCAGCTAAATTAAATCAGTAACAATTTGTCACCAAGCACTAAGTCTGGTTCAATTTCGGTCCATTTCCTGAAATACAGTGCCTGCAATTGACGAGTTGATGACATTCTACACATAATCATGTAATCACAGCAATGTACCACGGTGGGCCTTAGCTTCTGTTATAACAATATTCATCAATAAATTGATCTGTTTCGACTTTGTTCAAGTGTCTCATCCACCAAGTGTGTACTGCGGCCAATGCTAACAACAACTGAATGTTGCAGCGACAAAATAACACCAGACAATGGAATTAAATGCTTTAAATAAGTAAAAGAGTGTGCATATACTTGTAACAGTGTTGTGTCTGAGCATAAACACAGCAAAGGGAAGGGGGTTTAAGGTTTCTCCCTAAACAGAGGGTATATCAGAATATGGGGGAACTATGTCATTATAGGTGGGGGAATATTGCCCTGCCCCTGTGTCTTAGGGACAACTATGATAAACATGTTTATGTATGGTATTTGTGCATGCGCTGAATATGCTTGGGGCATCTCATTATAACATTCCTCCTACAGCTATCTTGCAGTTGTACAAGGTCTAGCAGTTGTACAGCCTGATACTGTGACTGTTTTACAAAGGTATTTCCTACAGTATCAGAAAAACCAATAATGTTAAAGATTTTTAAAGGTTTTGTCAGCAACAATTTATAGAAAATACAAAGCACATCTGATAACTATCAGTACGGGATTCCTTAAAATTTCTTGATTTGAACTTTGTTGCAATGGTCTAATTATCTTAACAATTTTTGCAAGCAACATCATATGGGATTAGCAATAACAATGCCACAAAAACCTTACCTAAACAAGGGAGTAATGTTTAATCAAGTTGAGGTCAATATATTCATCCTGTGACAAATTTGATTCAACCAACGTCATTCCTAGTCTTTTTGCGAGAACCTGACTCAATAATTGAGAAACAATCAATGGGTTTCTACTCAGATGACAAATATAAATGTTCATAAAATATGGATCTCTCTCAAAGAAGTAGCCATCAATAAAAAGACAAATTAGCAAAGGGTCAATATTTGACAGAGCTGGGTAAATATGACGAGGCAAAAAATGTTACAAATGTTCAAATAATTGGCATTCAAAACCAGGAAGCCACCTGATTCATTTACCTGGCTGTCTTTTTAACCTTTCCAATGACAAAATTTTAATTGACTTTCTTACTTAATGCATATGGTCCTCAACTTTTGAAAATCAGCTTTTCAGTATGATAAATAATAAAATATACAGACTTAGGTTAAGTTATTCAGTCTTGTAGGTTTTCAAAATTATAAGGGATTTTAGCAAGTGTACTCCTTTAATATACAGATACGGTTCATAGCACAAAGTTTTCAATATACTAATATAGAATTTTGATATACACAAGCATTTTTCATATCAAAAATGCCACTA